TTCGCGGGCCCCCGGCGAGGGCCCCGGTACCGTCGAACCTGACATTGCCACGAACCTGACATTGCCACGAACCCGACCCCGAACCCAACTTCGCGCTTCGCGCTGCGCGAAGTGCGAAGAACTTCGCGCTCTCGCGCCGCCTCCCAGGGGAGAGAGAGGAGGATGAGGATGAATCGGAGCCGAACCGCGAAGCGCGAATGACTTCGAGCCCTCGTGGGCGCCCTTGAGAAGTGGGCGTGACTTGCGAGGATGAGAAAAGCAAAGAAGAGGATGCCTATGAGGCGCGCTGATTCCCGTTTTGTCTGTAGGCCGCTTGAAAGCGCATTATGCTGGTTCCCGTGTTGTCCGTTGGACGCTGTGCCACTTTGTCGGGACGTCTCCGACAATCTTGGAGCCCTATTTTGCAGTCTTCGGGCCATGGGGCGTCTCCGACCATCTCGGGGCCCTCTTGCGCAGTCTTGGGGCCCTCTTGGAGGCCTCTGGGGCCTTCCTGGAGACCTCTTGGAAGCTTCTTGGGGCCTCTCGGGGTCCTCTTCGGGCCTTCTGGGGGGTTCTTTGGGCGGAGAGCTCAAAATGTCGGTCCCTGCCCCCCCTCCGGAGCCCCTCTTGTGGCCCCGGGATCCTCGAAAAAAAGCTCAGGACGAAAAACCGGCTCTATAATACAGGCGGGTTTTGGACGAATAGTTTTTTTGTTTTTTGTTTTGTTGTTTTGTTGTTGTTGATTTTTGTTTGAATAATAATAATAATAATAACAATAATAATAGCAATAACAATCACAATAACAATAATACTAATAATAACAACAATAATAAACATAATAGTTATAATACTAGTAATAATAATATTAATTATTATTATTATTATTATTATTATTATTGTTATTATTATTAATATATATATATAGAGAGAGAGAGATGATGCCCAAATAGCCCAAACAAAACACACAGAAATCGTCACCATACCGTTTTTGGACTATTTTTGAAGATTCCTCCTGTAGAGGGAAAAGCCCGACTTAACCCTATAGTAGGGAAGTGGTCCAGACCTCCAAGGCCCGCGCATGGCAAAGAATCGAGCGGCCGGATGTCGGGGGTGCCGCCGCAGCCGTCTGCCGTCGCCGCTATCCCTGGTGCCAGCTGTGCGTAGACGTCGCGTAGGCGATCAACTGCAAAGTGTAAGTCGGGCCTGTCCCTCTACAGGAGGATTATTCAAAAGCAGTGAAGATTGTACAGGGACGATTCTGGTCAACTATTTTGGGGTATGTTCCAACATTTTTGGGGTATTTTCTAGTTTTCGTCCAAAATCCGCCTGTGGCGGACATGCCCGACCTAATGCAAAGTTGATTTGCCCCAGAACATGTTTTTTGTCGAGCCTTTTCTTTGGTTGCACACATATATATATATACACACGCATGCTATGTGCAAACCTATTATGGACATCATACGTAATCCCTTCGCATTTGAGACGAGAAAGCAATTCTGGAGCAACGATACTTTTTCGAGAGTCGATCTCATAATCGAATACACTGAGATCTGGGCGTTGCATTTCTTTCGCGCCAGGCGTTTTCGGCTGCTTTCTCGGGCCCCATGGCCCTCACAGATCGCTCTGGCTCGAGACATGGAGCAGAAAGAGGTGGTCCGGGGCGCTGGCCTTGATTCGTTTGCAGCGTTGCATTTTCCCGCAACGTCGGATCTCGGGCCCCCAAGAAGTTCTTGGCAACAGCTTGTTTCTTTTGTACTCGCGACAACGGGCGTGATCGGGAGAGGGAAGGGGAGGGCTCACCCCCCCCGATGACATCACGGCGGGGGCCGCCGGAGATCTTCGGACCCCCCCGAAGAATCCGTAAGCCATCTGTGCAAGCGTGGGTGACGTAGCGTGACGTGATCCGGGTGGTGGGAAGGAAAGGGCCGATCACGGCCGTCATCAACCAAACCTTCACAAAACAGGCTCCAGCACCGTGTCCTCCCACGTACTGCAAGCGTACCTTCGCTCGCGGTCGCTGGCCTCTGCGGCCCTCGCCCAGGCCTCAGACCTGCAGATATCGATCCAGGACGGAGGATCGGCCCTGGGGAAAGGGTCGCGACTTCAGGGGGCCGCGCATCGGACATCCGGATGAGACGACCATGAGATCCTGGTGCTGCAATTTTGTCAGGCTCGAAAGCTGGCGCAGAAAGGTGGGGTCCGGGGCACCGACGGTGATTTTTTGCGATGTTGCATTTTTTTTGGCAACGGCCGATCTCAGGGAAGACTCGGACAACATCGGACCAGGATAACTCGGGGATGTCTGCGACCCAGCGCTTGTGCAATACATGTATGGGGCTGCGCGGCCGCCCCAAAGGGCCCCCCGGAGGGCTCTGACAGTGTTCTGGGGCGCTCTGGAACGGTCGACCCTGGTCTTGGGACTGCATAGAGGCCTCCTAAGTGGGCTAGGTGTGGTGCGAGCCGATGGGGTCGGATGATCGCGCCGCACCGCCAATGCGTCGCCGATATACCGGCGATGCATTGGCGATGCATCGGCGACGTCGAAGATGCATCGGCGACGTCGGCGTGGAGAAACACGGGCTCCTCGTCGAGCCACATCGGCGATGCATCGGCGACGCGGCGCGATCCTCCGACCCCACCCTACTCCTTTCCCATCTGGCTAGGCCTGGGCCGCCTCCCTCGCGCGCAGCCTCGCCGTCTGGCCGTCCGCCGCGTGCCCCCCCCCGAGCTCCCTCGGTGGGGGCGCGCGCTCTGGCTCGGTCCCGCCCTCCCTGGATGCTGCTGCTGTTGCTGCTGCTCCTCCCGCGTGCCTCTTCCGGGCCCCCTCCTGGCTCGTGCCCCTTCCCGCCCGCCCCCCCCCCGTATTCGATCTAACGGGGCCCCGTGGGCGCGCGCGGGAGCATCGCACATGGACGCATCAGACGCATGCGCAACGCGTGGCAACTTCAAAACGTTGCCAGCAATGGCTGATGCATACATGTCTGGGAGGACATGAACTCCCATGCGAGCCACGTGTGACAGATGTATTGCGCGCCCCACGAGGCCCGGTATGAAGCGACGTCTCACGAAAGGACATGGATAGGAAGATGATACTGGGCGTTCGTGAGTGAGGGCGCGATGCCATGCGCAAGCAAGCGAGCAAATGCTGAGTACGAAACGGACATGAGCACATAGCCACTATCACGTGGCATCGCAATACTTACTTGCTGACTGCGACACGCCACGCCGTGGCCGAAGAAATGGTGTCCTGCCAAAGCGCTGGAAGGGCCTCCACACCCCCAGCTGCTTCGCGGGCGTGCGTGTAAACTTCCCGGGACCACGTTGCTCGTGGTCGCCCCCTCTTTCTCTGGGTGGGAGGGGGGAGGAGGAGGGAGGAAAAGGGCTGGAACACTGCGCAACGCACAGCGTCGTCACCTGGCTTTCTGGCGATATGACCAAGCAGTAGAAGCTGTCTACAGAGGAGCGTGCTGCTAAGTGGGCGGGCGCCGGCCCGTTGAAGCACGGCGTCGTTCGAGACTCTGCTGATGCATGGATGGGGAATGCGCAACAACTTGCGCGGACATCGCGCCTGGAACGCGCCCGATCGACACAGCTCGTGCTTGTTAAGATACGAAATGTGCAGACAGTACAACAGCTTACTAAAAACGCAAGAGTCAAACATCTGAATCTTCGTATGTTGCGTGAGAGTGGAATGGCTCCATACCCTGGCTAATTTGTCAAATTCTGGCCCATGCAGCTCCTAGACGGCGTGACAGTTCTGAACCTATTTTGCCGTCGTCGCTAATCAAAATACCTAAATACACAATGCTTCTTTTCTGTGGGATCGGGGTGCCGTCCGGCTGGAGAATGCATACGTCGGCTCCTACAGCCAAGGCTTCTAGCTTGCGTCAATTAAGCTGTAAACCGTACTGCTGCCCCATACGTTGCACGGCATGCATGTGCGCCTCGGCCGATGCGGCAGAGGTGGCTAGCAAAAATGTGTCGTCTGCGTATACAAATTCATTCACATGCATGCTCTTCTTCAGATAAGGATCGGCCTCTCTTATTGCATCGCGCAACAAAGTGGTCACCAATCTTGCGAACAAGAACGGAGAGAGTGGACATCTCTGACTGATGCCGAATGCTTGTGGATGCTCTACCGATGTTTTTTCCAGCGTCGCGAACAGAAAAATACGATCTATGTATATGGCACGCACCACTTGTATGACGTGGCTGGGGACGCCGAGCCGCTCCAATGAAAGGCACAACGCATCGGGCGAAACACTGTCAAATGCCTTCGCCCAGTCCAAGACCAGCAAGACTAGGCGCCCGCTTTTCTCTGCCCATGTAAGTTCAAGCAAGCGCCGAACAGGAAGATCGCGTCCGCTGTCCCGTGCTTGCTCTTGAAACCGAACTGGGTGCTCCAAACTCTCTGTTCAGCACCGGCTGCTTTCAGACGGTTCAAAAGAATTGTAGGGAACATCTTATATCCAATCGACAGCAAGCTTATTGGACGATAATATTCACAATTTGCAACGCCGCCCTTTTTGAATATAGCCGTGACGAGCGCCTTGTGCCAGGCGTCAGGGACCACGCGTTCGTCCCAACACTTGTTGCACAGTGACACGGCCCACCTGCAGGCAGGGGCCCCTGGAGTGCAAATCGATTTCCAGAACTCGCCTGGAACTCCGTCTGCGCAAGCGGCCTTTCCCCTCTTCAGTTTGACATCCGCTGCCAACACCTCGTCCTCGGAGATAGGATCACACGACACAGGTAAAATAGCGACCATAATCAAAATGCGGACAGAAACAACGGCGTGGACGAGTTGCGTGTTATCGATGAAGGCGAATGCGGTGTTGCCGCATCTCTCGCGCATCGTCGATCCTGGGTTGAGGGCTATAGCCAACACCGTGGCCCTCACCCGCGCCTCCTCATGCGGACGCTGAGAGGTCGCCGCCGCGCGCTCCCGCGTGAGATGCGTGAAGAAGGGCACACGGGCGCGCTGGCACGCGCTCTGGCAGCTCTTCCGCCCAAGCGTGCAGGAACCGAATCAGGGCGTGCTGGTCCGCATGCCCTTTGGCCTCTCTCCTGCGCGTCTCCGCGCGGGCACTGGACTTCCGCAAGCGTGCCGCCAAGTTCGCGAGCGGCCCTCGGGAGAGAAACTCCAGCCCCTGGGAAGAAGGACATACGGGTGTAGCCTGGGCCCGTCCAAATTGTCGCCGTCTGGGCAGCTGGCGTCGACGATGACCTCGTGGCGACGAGTTCGAGCTCACAGAAGTGGCGACAGATACGCAAAGGACAGCACGATGGGAGGCGAAGTCCTCCTTGGGTCTGCGTCGGGCGCAGGGCGACGCTCGGCTAAGGCTGAGCAGGTGGCAGCACCCTGAGCGTGGAAACATCGTGCGGGTCTGCGTAGGACGTCGGTCCGCTGTCTTCCGGGAATTCCTGGAGGTGGCGACACTTGCCCAGTTGGTAGCTCCCGGTCGCGGCGAGGTCTCATTGGGGCCTACGTGGGACGTCATTCCGCTCGCTGAACCTCCCAAGAGCTCACGAGATCGGTGACGGTTGCGCACTTAGCAGGCACGATCTGCGTCACCCGGCACTCCGCTGGACCTTCCAGGACTTCACTAACACGGCGACGCGTGCGCAATCGGCAGCACCGAGGGAGGCAACACTTCGTTTGCATCTGCGTAGCCCCGCACACTGCTGTACATCCCCCCAGGAGTACCAGAAAGCGGCGCCAGTTGTCCGATTGGCAGCATTCAGGGATGCGAGGTCTTGTGCGTGCCCGCGTCAGACGTCACTCCGCTGGAACCTTCCAGGAGCTCAAGAAAGCGGCGACGGTCGAGCAATTCGCTACACCAAGGAAAACAAGGTCGCGCTTGGATCTGCGTATCTCAGCACTGCGCTGGCCAATGACTGCAAAAGTAGCGACACGGGGGGCGAGGAAGATGAAGCGCGGAGACAGCGGAGGGAGCGAGGGGAATGCGGCAGACGGAGAGGGGGAGGAAGAGAGGAGGAGACGCGACCGCAATGCTCTACCCCCAAAAGAGTACCCCAAAGAAAGGCTGGGACAATCACCTTTCCACCCCATCCCCGCCATGATTGGGCAGAAAGCACTGGACGGAGCCATTACGTCCCGTCCCCCCTCTGGTATCGCTTGGTCGTCGCCATTGCCATCGCCGTCGCCGCCTCCGCTCGTCGCCGTCGCCGTCGCCGTCGCACGTCTGACGTCTGACGTCTGACGTCGTCGTCGTCGTCGCCGCCGCCGTCGTCGCCGTCGCCGTCGTCGTCGTCGTCGTCGTCGTCGTCGTCGTCGTCGTCGTCGTCGTCGTCGTCGTCGTCGTCGTCGTCGTCGTCGTCGTCGTCGTCGTCTGTTGTCGTCGTCGTCGTCGTCGTCGTCCGTCGTCGTCGTCGTCGTCGTCGTCGTCGCCGTCTGACGTCTGACGTCTGACGTCGTCGTCGTCGTCTGACGTCTGACGTCGTCGTCGTCGTCGGTCGTCGTCGTCGTCCGTCGTCGTCGTCGGTCGTCGGTCGTCGGTCGTCGTCGTCGTCGTCGTCGGTCGTCGTCGTCGTCGTCGGTCGTCGTCCTCGTTGGCGGTCGTCCTCTTGCTAGCCGGCCGGCGGCCGGCCGCGGAGGGCGCGCCGCAGGGCGAGCCGCCGCACGCCGGGGCGGCCGCGGCCGCCCGCGGCGCCTGGGCGTCGGGGGGGCGCCCGGCGTGGCGGCGCCCGCAGGAGGGCGTCCTCCCTCCCTCCCTCCTCCCTCCTCCTCCGCCTCCTCCTCCTCCTCCTCCTCTCCTTTCGCCTCCTCCTCCTCCTCCTCCTCCTCCTCCTCCTCCTCCTCCTCCTCCTCCCCTCCATGGCCACGCAGGCGCCTCGGCGGCGGCCGGCGGCGGAGAGAAGGCGCCCCCTCACCACGCCAGGGGGCCCCGGAGAGGACGGCCCCGCCTCGGAGGAGACGTGGAGGCGCCGAGCGCCGCGCACGCGCGCCACACAGTCGTCGGCCTGACCTAAGGAACGATAAATAAGGAACGAAGCCCCTTTTTTATCCCAAGGAAGAACGCACAAGGAGCGATAAATAACAGATAGCGCATAAGGAGCTGCAGATAACGCATGTAAAATCTGAGGAACGACCGAGCCCCTTTTGAAAAGTAAGTGTTCCTTATTCAAGCCGCCCGCTGTAGCGCGCGGCAGTCGGAGCCCCAGCGACGACGACGACGACGACGACGACGACGGCGGCGGCGGCGGCGACGAGGAGGGCGAGGGCGACGAAGAGGAGCGGATCCTGTGCAAGGTGGCATGGCGACCTTGCGCGGCGGCTGGCGCGGACAGCCTGCGCGGCACGCAGCAGCGGAAGCGAGGGCGCTTGCGCGCGACCTTCCGTGGGCAGCTGACGCGCCAATGTCGGCGCAGACGAGCCCGTTTTTGTTCGTCGCTCGTGCCTTGCTTCGAGCGATCCCCGTCGGAGAACTCGCAGCGGGGCACATGGAGAGCAGCGGGGTCCTTGGGGCCTGGCGGCCGCGGTATGCAGCTGCCAGCCGTCCATCCGGCGGGGGAGGAGGAGGAGGAGGAGGAGGAGGAGGAGGAGGAGGAGGAGGAGGAGGAGGAGGAGGAGGGGAGGAGGAGGAGGAGGCGGAGGAGAGGAGGAGGAGGAGGAGAGGAGGAGGAGGAGGAGGAGAGGAGAGGAGGAGGAGGAGGAGGAGGAGGAGGAGGAGAGGGAGGAGGAGCGCGCTGGCGCATTCTGGGCTTTTGGGGGCCGCGGTGCGCAGGGTGTGCAGGTTGGGTCGGGGGAGCCGCTCTTTCAATCGAGCACCCCAGACCTCCCAACCTCTCGGGGGCCAGCATCAACGCGGAGTGTCGGTCGTCGTGTTCGGCCTCTGGGGCCCTTCGCCGGGCTCTGGTCCTCTCCTCCTCCACCTGCTCCTCCCGCGCCTCCTCCCGTTGTCATCCGCGTGCTCTTTCCCCTCTTCCCGTCCTCCTCTTCCTTCTTCCACTTCCAATTCTTCGAATAATTATCCGTCTCCTCCCGGCAGTACTCCTCTCTCAGCCCCTCCTCCTCATCGCCCTGCTGATGCTGCCGCTCGTCGTCGTACTCCTGCTCCTCTTCCGCATCCTCCTCCCCGCGTTCTCCTCCTCTCCCCTCCTTTCTCTCCTCCCTGTCCCTCCGCCTTCTCCTCCTCCTTCGTATCCCTGCCACCCGCGTTCCTCCTGCTCCTCCTCTGCCTTCTCCTGAATGAAGAATATATGATCAGTGGCCTCCACAGGGGCAGCGCCGCAGAATTACATCCTCTGCGTGGCTGCGCCGCTTTTGGGGTTGCACCACCAAGCCCAGCAACACTGCCACGCGAACACTGACATACAACCCACCCACGCATGGGAAACCCAAAAGGTACTGGGGTGCCTTCCGACCAGAATGTCGAAGCGAATCCAGCGGTGGCGACGAGGGACTCCCAGGAGGCCCACAAAGGGGGGGAACGAGGGAAGGGTAGCGGTATGGATACCCTCTCCTCCCTCGAGCACAGGAAGAAGACGCCGTGTGTCCACAATAGGAGAATGAATGAACAGAAAACGAATCGGGAGAACAAGACGATGTGAAGACGCCGTGTGTCCGTCGAGCACAGGGGCCCTGTGCTCGACGGAGACCGACCCCCCCCCCTCAAAACAAAAAAAAGAAGCGGCACCCGCGGGGGGGGGGGGAGGGGGAGGGGGAGGGCGGGTTCCAGGCTGCCCAGGCCGCCCTCGGCCAAGCCAGGGCCGCCTGCCAGGGCGGCATGCCGCCGGAGGTGCTTGCCTGCATGCAGGCGTGCGAGCGGCTATTGGGGGCCATGGTGGGGACGCATGCGGCGGCCCCGCCGGGCGGCAACTTCGCGGCTGCAGGGGCCGCGCCCCGCCGGCCTGCGCGGCAGGCAGGCGCAGGTGCGCAACCTGCGCAGGCGTCCGGCGCGGCAGCTGGACCTGGGGCGCTCGCTGAGCGGGAGCCGCCGCTGCCGCCCGGGGGCTTCCAGGCGAGGCCTGCGCTGCCAGGCCCCCTCGCTGAGCCCCATCCTCACGGGGCGCTGTGGGATGCTCCTGGAGGGGGTGACGACGAGGATCTTGCAGTGGAGGAGCAGCCGCCCGCGGTACTCGCTCTTCCCGACGCCGAGCCTCGTGTCCAGGCAGCTGCTCAGCAGGCCTTGGTGCGTGCTCGGGCGCAGGGGTTGCTGGAGGACTCGCGTGGGCGCAGCCGCTCGGCCACGCGTGACGCCGAGGTGCAGTCGGCCCCGGCGGAGGGCGCCAAGGGCCCCGCAGCAGCGCGGCGTCCTCGGCCGCGGGGGTGATGCGATCAGCGCCGACGCGACGGGCACCCCTTGCGAGGGGTATGCTGGCATCCGTCGCGGCGCCGACGACGGCCAGCACGGCACGCTCCCTTCATCGGCTGCTCGGTGGAGAGGAGCTTCTAGGCGTTCCTGGAGCTGTTCAGGAACGGGGGTAGCTCGATCTTCGTCGACGTCTTCGGATCCTGGATCTCGTCCGAATCCTTCCCAACAGGGTGAAGGTGATCGTGGCAGTGAGCCCACTGCTTCGTCTCCTAAGGGGTGGACTTTTTGCACGTGTAATACGACCAGCTGGACCAGTGCGCAATGGTTCCTGGAGAACGAGACTTCCTCCGACCTTGTGTTCTTGCAGGAGGTCGCAGTGGCTCCGGCACTTCTGGCCGATCGAGAAGCCGCCATAGGTCGTCTCGGTTGGAAGGCTAAGGTTGCGCCTTCTCGGGACACGGGGGGGGGCCTCTCAGGGGGTACCTTGGTGGCCACTAGGCCTCACATTGGCCTCTGCCAGGCTCTCATCCCGAAGCGTCCCTGGCCTTCCGAACGGGTCCTTCTCATGTGGGTCAACGGCTTGGTCCCTGGAGGCTTCCTTGCCGGTTCAGTATACCTTATCACTGGGGAGTGCATGGACGACCAGAGCTTTCTTATCTTGAAGCAATTGGGCGAGGCCCTTAAGGCTATGGGGCAGCCCTTTGTTCTAGGAGGAGATTGGAACATGCCGCCTGAGACCCTCATCGCCTCGGGGTGGCCTGCCGCTGTGGGAGGTTCGGTCGTTTGCACTGGGTCCTACACCTGTCGAGGTTCGGGGAAGGTCTAGGCTTGAGAGTGTCTCCGACTAAGAACCGGATTACGGCCTCTTCGACGTCTCTTGGGAACCGCCTCGCTAGCAAGCTGACTCGCTGGAACTTCCTCCTTGTCGACGGTGTGAAGAATCTCGGGGTGGACTTCTCTTGCTCGCGAGCCACGCGTAAGGTCCAGTTGTCTCGGATCTGCGCCGTTCGGCGTCGCGTCCGTCGATTTCGGCTTCTGAGCTCCTCGCGCAAGGGCGTCTCCAAGATTTTCAAGACGGGTGGTACCCCAGCTGCCCTCTATGGGACGGCAGTCACGGGGATTAGCACGGCGTCTCTTAGGTCCCTGAGGGCGGCTGCAGGGGCAGCCCGTTTCGGCCCCGCGGCGGGCAGGTCTCGCACTTTGCAGTTTTTGCTAAGTGAAGACCCTTCGGCTGACCCTGTGTACGCCGCGAACGCCTTGCCCTTGGTGTTTTGGGGGCGCGCGATCGTCGAGCGATGGTTGCCCAGCCACCTCCTGGCTTCTCTCTATTCCTGTCTGGTGCAAGGGTTTAATGGTAGGGTTCGCGGGCCGTGTTCGGCCGTGCTGGCCACCTTGATGCGCCTGGGTTGGACGCCGCAGAGCTATTCCAGGTGGGAGACGGGTGAGCGTGTGGAGGTTGATCTGACGGAGGTCCACCCAGGCTCGCTGCGTAAAATCGTTGATATCGGTACGGAGCGTGCGCTCTTGCAAGGCTTGCCAGGATCTCCTGGCCTGGAGAACCTGGGAGGCCACCCTCTTTTGGAACCGATCCGCAAAGCTCAGCAGCAGCTCCGACGGGAAGGTTTCAAGACGGGGGCGCAGCTCTTGGGAACCCACGTTTCGGGGGGGCTGTGGACGCAGGCGCGTCTTTATGCCGCTCGTTCGGTAGATTCTCCGCTGTGCCAGGGTTGCAAGGCTGAGCCAGGAACGACGGGGCACCGGTTATTCGAATGCGATTTTAGCACCGAGGTTAGACGTCACCTCGACCTGGATGACGTCACCCGTGCAGGGAAAGAGTGCCAGCAACAGGATCCTCTACTCCATCGTTGTCTGGTGGATTCCCTCCTTCAGTCTCAGCCCCCTCCTCGTGTCGATGGATAATCGGCACTGACGGGCCGATTGTGGAAGGGGCTTTGGCCGGCCTTGTAGGCATCGACGGGTCTTGCCTGAACCCCACCTTTGCCCACGCCTCTCGCGCTGGATGGTCGTGCGTGAAAACAGACCGTCATGGCGAGTCGGAGGGAGCCATTTTCGGTCCGCTGCCCTGTGCCTTGCAAGAGATCGGGGCTGCGGAGTTGTGGGCGTTCTACATGTGTCTGTGCAACTGTGTTGGTGCTCTCGTAGTCGTCACCGATTGTAAAAACTTGGTTGACGGAGTGGCGGCAGGGCCGGAAGCATGTTGCCGGCCCTCCAAAATTTATTCCGAAATTTGGTGCAAGATCTGGTTTAAGATCAACGAGATCGGTTTGGATCTGATCGATTTGCACTGGATCCGTTCTCATTCCTCCTGGAAGGAGGCGCAGGCGTCAGGAGTGCCGTGGCTGCACTTTCGGGCCAACAAGCTCGCGGACATCTTTGC